GACTGGCTTTCGAGCAAGGGAAACCTTTACCTTTTACCTACTTATTTATTTAAGGGGCTGCGGTGGCTCAAGTGTTTAAGATGCTGAACTGCAGACCGGAAGGCCGGTAGTTCAGCAGTTCGACACCCGAGTGTCGCTGGACAGAGTGAGCTCCCGTCTCTAGTTCCAGCTCCTGCCAACCTAGCAGTTCGAAAGCAAGAAATTGCAAGTAGATAAATAGGTACCACTTCGGTGGGAAGGGAACAGCGTTCCGTGCGCCTCGGGGTCTAGTCATGCCAGCCACATGACCACGGAAACGTCTTCGGACAGCGCTGGCTCTTTGGCTTGGAAACGGAGATGAGCACCGCAACCCTAGAGTCGGATCTGACTGGCTTTCGAGCAAGGGGATCCTTTACCTTTTCATTGATTTGGGGGAAAAAAACCCCTCACCTCTCTTCCAGAAGCCAGCCTTTACCTGGATGGCCCAGGCTTGCCGGATCTCATCAGATCTCGGAAAATAAGCATTGTCAGCCCTGGTTAGTACTTGGATGGGAGACCACCAAGGAAGTCCAGGGTTGCTACGCAGAAGCAGACAATGGCCAACCACCTCTGTTCATCTGCCCTGACCAGGATGGCTCAGGCTAACCCAGCCTCGCCAGATCTCGGAAGCTAAGCAGGGTCGGCCCTGGTTAGTACTTGGATGGGAGACCACCAACAGAAGACCGCGGTCGCTACAGCGAGGCAGGCAATGGCAAAAGCCACCTCTGTCTTTGGTCCTGACCCAGGCCGGCCTGATCTCATCAGAAGCTAGGCAGGGTCGGATGAGAGGCCCCCAAGGAAGCCCAGGGTCATGACACAGAGGCAGGCAAGGGCAAAAGCACCTCTGTTCATCTCGATCGCCTTGGAAACCCGACAGGGCTGCCCTGAGTCGGCTGCTACTTTGTTGTTGTTCAGTCGCACAGTCGAGTCCGACTCTTCGCGACCCCATGGACCAGATCACGGCTGCCACTAGACAGTACATTTCTCCAGGGGTCGTTTCGTAGAAAAAGAGCTAGGGGGACTCATTAGCATAACTCATTAGCATATGCCACACCCCCTGACATCACCGGAGGTGTGTCATAAGGCCACACCCCCTGACATCACCGGAAGTGTGTCATAAGGCCACACGCCACGCCCCCAACGGTCTCGGCCGGCAGGAGTGCAAGGAAGCCCGGCGAAGGCCCTCCCTGGCCCCAGGCAGGCAGGCAGGGGTGGGGAGAGGCAGGGAGGAAGCAACTTACCCTCCCTCTTCTCCTGCCTCCTCCTGGCTGAATGAGGGCCGGAAGCGGGGCGGCCGGAAGCAGGGGGCGGGGCTTCGTCATGTGCCCCGCCCACCCGTACCTCACCCAGGGGAACTGCGATCCCCCCTGAAATGACCTCTGCATTTCTCCACCACCTCCTTCCCGGGAACTGCCCAAGGCCAACTAAAACAATAAAAAAACATTAAAAGATATTAAAGGTCCGGCATTAAAAACCCAGCCACAGAGGGCATAAAAAATAGATCGCCAAGCAGCTTAAAACAAGAGTTTCGTGACTAAAAACACAGACGGAATCAATGCGGTACAGGGGTTGAAGTTCTGGACCAGTGTGGGGTAGTGGTTAAGAGTGGCAGACTCTGATCGGGAGAACCGGGTTCAATTCTGCACTCCTCCACACGAGGCCAGCTGGGTGACCTTGGGTCAGTCACAACAAATGTTCCCTCTAAGCTGTGGAGTCTTGTGAGCAAAACTTCTACTTTGCGAGCTACTGGCATTCAAGTGGTGAGCAGGTGATTTGGCTGCTGCAAAAACCAGTTTGCTCTGGAGCCCTCCTTCTTGAGCGAAGCCAAAACTGTGTGAGCCAGAGGCTAAAAAACTGTGAGCTGGCTCACACAAACTCAGCTTAGAGGGAACACTGGTCACAACTCTGAGTTCTCTCAGCCCAAAAAACGTCCAGCTCACCAACTAGTGGTGCATAATGCTAAAAGAGCTAGAACTTCAGGCTGCCATACAATGTTTGACTCTCCTGGCTATACGACCCCCAATACCATACGATAATTATTATTACTGGACTAGGGTCTGGGAGACCCAGGTTCCAATCCCCCCCCCCGTGGAAGCTTGCTGGGCGACCCGAGGCCAGTCACAGACTCTCAGCCTAGCCAACCTCACAGGGTGGCTGCTTTGGGGAGAAAGGTGGGAGAGCGAACTGTGGCCAGGCCACGGGGGCAGACCCAGAATAATAGGGGTGAACGGAACTCTAGGGTCCAAGGCAGCAAAGACAGGGGAACACGAGCATTTGGAATTTTGTTTGACAATGTTTAGCCAGTTTGGGGCAGCAGTCAGCAATGCAGACTCTAATCTGGGAGAACCGGGCTTGATTCCCCACTCCTCCACATGCAGCTGCTGGGGTGACCTTGGGTCAGTCACAAGTTCTCTCAGGGCTGTTCTCTCAAGGGCAGTCCTCTAAAGAGCTCTCTCAGCCCCACCTACCTCACAGGGGGTCTGTGTGGGGAAGGAGATGGTAAGCCGCTCTAGACTCCTTCGGGTAGCGAAGGGCGGGGTATGAATCCAATCTCCTCCTCCTTCTTCTCTCCCCCCTCCCCCCAGCTCTCATCTCTGCCAGCTCCTGAGGCTATATCTCATATAACTACCGTTGCCAACCTCCAGGTGGGGCTACCCGGTAATCTCCGGGAATTCCTTCTGATCTCCAGACTAGAGATCAGTTTCCCTGGAGAAAATGGATACTTTGGAGGGCGAACTATACATGGCATCACGCCCCACTGAGATGTCTCCCCTCCCCAGCTCCAGCCCCCCTCCCCAACTTCTGGGAATTTCCCAAACCAGAGTTGACAACCCCAGAAGGGGAGCGGTGGCACAGTGGGTATATCCCACTGTCTTGACACCCGAACTGTGTCAGTTCGAGCCCCGCGCTGGTGTGAGCAGCCAGCGACTAGAGATCAGCTTCCCTGGAGAAAATGGATACTTTGGAGGGCATCACGCCCCACTGAGATGTCTCCCCTCCCCAGCTCCAGCCCCCCTCCCCAACTTCTGGGAATTTCCCAAACCAGAGTTGACAACCCCAGAAGGGGAGCGGTGGCACAGTGGGTATATCCCACTGTCTTGACACCCGAACTGTGTCAGTTCGAGCCCCGCGCTGGTGTGAGCAGCCAGCCTGTTGTCCCCAGCTCACCGTCCACCCAGCGATTCGAAAGCCTCGGCGAGTAGATAAAATGGGAACCACTCCTTAGAGAGGGTGGGCACACCAACTGGGTATAAATCCAATATCTTCTTCTCTTCTTCTTCTTCTAGAAGAGGAGCTTGGAGTAGGCTGAAGGCATCTGGGATGCCCCAGCCAGGCGGTGGCAGTGTGGCGACCCGACATACGGGTCCTGAAGCCCCAACATCATCAAGCCGGTCGACGCAGCCGTTCGGGACATGACTGAGCCAAGCCAGAGACGTTTCCACCATGCAGTTACGGCGTGTGCAATTAAAAATTAATTATATGTTGTCTTTCCTATCCCCTATGAAACATTGTTAGTCCCCTGTCTAAAGAGTAACTGTAAATCACTTTGAGCCCACTCGTGGGGAAAGCGATTAATAAATCGAAAGCATTATTATTATAATTATTATAATCACTGTATGCCAGCACTGAGGATAACAGGACTACCACTCAAGGACAACGCTCCCTCTAAACTGTGGAGTCTTGTGAGCAAAGGATTCTACTTTGTGAGCTACCGGCATTAAAGTTGAGCAAGCAATTTGGCCTACTGCATAAATTAGTTTGCTCTGGAACCCTCCTTCCTGAGCGGAGACAAAAACGTGTGAGCTGGAGGCTAAAAAACCCCTGTGAGCCAGCTCAAGCTAACTCAGCTTAGAGGGAACACTGCTCAAAAGAAGAGGAGATTGGATTTATACCCTGCCCTTCACTACCCAAAGGTGTCTCAGAGCGGCTTACAAACTCCTTTCCCTTCCCCTCCCCACAACAGACACCCTGTGAAGTAGGCGGGGCTGAGAGAGCTCTGACAGAAACTGCTCTTTTTCAAGAACAGCTGTGCCAGAACCATGGCTTGCCCAAGGTCATCCAGCCAGGTGCAAGTGGAGGAGTGGGGAATCAAACCTGGTTCTCCCATAGAGTTCACGCACTTAACGACACCAAACTGGCTCCAGTTCCAAAGTTCAGGTGCCACACCAGGAAAGGCCCCGTCTCTCGTGACCACCGACCCCGACTCAGAAGCAAAGCAGGGCACGGAGGACCTGAGCCGACTGGCTGGCTCATGTGGGGTTCTGCTACTGCCCTTAGTCGGCAGGTGTGTGGGGTGGCGATAGCCTGCCCCCATGGCTAGAAAGTCACACTTCTCTCTGCTCCCTTCTCTGGAAGTTGGAAGAGAGTGGGAAAGGACCAAGTCACAAAAGAGGACGTGAGAGACCTCCTCCTGAGACCCTGGAGAGCTGCTGCCGGTCTGATGTTGATGGACTGTGGGTCTGATTCTGTAGAAGCAGGCCCGTAGCCAGGTTTTTTTTTAATTCGGGTGGGGGGGCTTTAAATAAGTCAGGACCCCCCCTGCACACACCTGGGCTGGATGGGAAGTCGGGTGTGGGGGGGCTTGGCGGGAAGTCAGGGGGTCGGGCCCTGTGATGCCCCACGGTAGCTACGAGGCCTGTGTAGCAGGCAGCTCCACGCATGTGTTCTTCTCTCCAGCACAGACAGGCTGCCGGCTTTTGACACCGGGTTTGATTCCCCACTTCTCCTCCACATGCAGCTGCTGGGGTGACCTTGGGTCACTCACAAGTTCTCTCAGGGCTGTTCTCTCAAGGGCAGTCCTCAAAAGAGCTCCCTCAGCCCCACCTGACTCACAGGGTGTCTGTTGTCTGGAACGTCCCCCAGAGCGAAGATGAGCCCAGTGGACTTGTTGAGAGGCAAACCGATTCAACAGGAGAAGAGGCCGTGACGTTTTTTTAAAAAAGAAAACTTTAATGACTTAACCAGCCTTATGCATTCACCGAGCAGACACGCGCGCTTCCCAGTTGGTATGTTTCAGCCCGAGGGAGGAGCACTGAGCACGCCCGCGTATATTAGAGGGTCCACCTTCCCCACCTCCGGTGTTGGCAAACTGGGCATTGGGGTGCCCCTCAAATCAGTGGAGCTCCCCATGTTGATGTGAGGGGGGGCACCCTTTCGCAGGATCGAGATCGCTCCCAAGTCAGTGCCTCTGGCTGGCTTATCCACCGAACCCGCCCCCCCACTTCTGCCAAGATCCTTTTGCGAATGCGACTGCGTGACGCCCTTCCCCGTGGCCGCTTCTGGCCGCAACTGGCCTCCAAATTTCCCCAGGGTGCGGGGAGCCCGGGGCACGAAACACGAAACGCAGCATTCGTCAGAACAACCACGTCTCCGGGTCAAAAGCGATCCCACAACACAACACATTTAGTCGTCTTGAGATGGCGACCGGCCAGGCAAGGAAACAAAATTCCAAACGGACCTGCCCGCCCTCCAACACGGGCCTCCCCGGCATCTCCTCCTACCCCTGCTGGGCAAGGTGGCTCCATTTTGCAAAGTCAGGAACGTGGCCGATTGCAAAAGCGCCGTTCCGTGAATGGGGGAAAGTGGCACGAATGGTCAAGACTGGCGACGAAGTCCAGAGCGTGACGCCGAAAGGCGAATTCACAGTCCTGTAGCGGAGGGCGGTCTGCTCTTAGGGGGAGGGGCACAATCCCGCCAGCTACAAGACGAAGGCCCCCATCTGGAGCCCCCCCCCCGGCCAGCTGTCTGGATGGAGGCGACAGAGAAGCGAGCTTTTAGCAGCTCGCCAGCATCCTTAGGGAGACCTTTCAACTCCCAGAGTAACCAGGAAGATCTGGATGACGTTAAGCGTGGCTGTCCAGCAACTAGGTGGGATTTAATTCCCGCCCCCCCCCCCCCCGGCCAAACGGCCAGCTAGGGCCCTCCGAAATCTAGAGGTGCGGCAGCAAAAAGGGGGTGCCACTCAAGGCAACTAGGAGATGCTTATGGTTAATGCTTGGCTCGACGCCATAATAAATGTACTACTAACTAGGAGGTCTCTTTCTTTGCAACACACCCATTTCTGTAACAGCAGCCCCGCACTCAGAAACCTAGCAAGGGAAGTCTTTCCGACGGGAAAAGCTCCCCCTGCTGGATTTCTGCATGTCGGGGATGCCATTAACAACGCGCAAGGGCGGGAGAAAGGCGGCAAAAGCCTGCCTTGCGAGAGAAGCGGAGCGGGCCAGCACTTGGGCTGGCCGTTTCTGAAGCAGTTCGACGGAACCAAAGCAAAACAGCCGAGCGTGGGCGTGTCGGCAGCGGGGCGGCGGACCTGCAGAAGGGCCCACTATCCTGCCCGTTCTGCCTACTAGTCTGTTCTCAGCGTGCCAGCTGGTTCCGAGGCCAACAGGATCTCCAACTCTAGGGAAAGGGGGGGGGGAATTCAGGGATCCGCCCAGCAGACGACCATTCGTACTCATGCACCACTTCGGCCTCTGCAGTTCTGGCGGCAGCCTGAAAGAGAGGCACAACAGAGACTTGGGGGCTTCCTCCAGTCAAACGGAAGCCTCCTGATGCCGGTGGGAGGCCCCAGGTTTGGCGGAGTCGAGGGACCGAAGCCAGCGCTTGCAAGTTGTCCACTCGCCCCCACCCCCCATGGGCTGGGCCAACGGTCAGCTGGGTTCCAGCCACTGTCGTCGAGAAGACAGGAAAGGAAGGATTTTGCTCTCACGCCATCGCATCCTTTGGAGAAAGCTCCCCCCGCCCCCGAACATAGTAGCTATTCTTACAGCCCAGCGTTAGTTTAAAAGGCATCTGTAGACTCAAACTCTTGGGGGGGGGACACAAGGGGCGCAGAGGGAGTCAAAATAACATCTTGCAAGGGAAGAGGGTGGGAAATTATCTTTATGCACACAGCGTCCTCTTCTGGTTCATCTACGGAGAAACGGAAGCCGGTTTCTGAGGACCCGGGAAAGAAAACGGAAGCCTGGATCCCGAGCACAAGCTGGGGGGGTCAGAAGCGGTCACAGCTCCCCCCGGAGGCAGAGAGGAGATCGTCCGCCGTCCTCACATAAACATGTCATCGTAGTTGGGAGGTGGGAGGTGGTCGGGGTTCGGCCTGGAAGGGGAAAAAGAAAGCGACTGAGTATCGTCCCCAAGGTCATTGTGAATCCAGCAAACTGGCCCGAGTTGGGATCCTCCGCTGGGCCACGTGGCTGCTACAGAGTGGACTTTTTTTTTTTTGCCGCTCATGAACTAAAGTTCATCATGAATTTTGGCCAGCGATGTTTGAGAACTGAAGCACCACCACCACGAACTTCCACGAATTTTAATGCAGTTCGTGGCGGTTAATGAAGAGCAGAAAGCGGGGGTTTAATGGCTCCCCACCATCTCATCCCCAGCTTTCTGCTCCTCGTGGCTTTCGGCAGCGAGCAAAAAGCAGGGGGTGAAATGGCTGGGAGGCATTTCACCCCCAGCGTCCTGCTCACTGACAAAAAACGCGGCGAGCAAAAGGCTGGGGGTGAAATGTCTTGGAGCCCTTTAAAACTCTGCTTTCTGCTCCCCGCGGCTTTTTGTGGAGAGCAGAAAGAAGGGGTTTAAACTTTAAATGGCTCAAACCAATGCAAACCGGCCTCTTGGTTTGTGCCTCGGTTTGTGGTTTAACCACGAACTACGAACAGAACTGCAAATAACGCGGTTTGTGCGCGTCCCTAATTATTAGTGTGAAGAGAGAAATGAGACTTCCCAAGTAAGGTGCCAAGATTTTTGCCCTCATCTCCATCTCCAGAGAGAATCCAACCTAGAAACGCAAGTTCTCTGTACTCACCCGCCACGGCTAGCCCCGGGGGGCCCAAAAGGATCAAATCTGGCCCCAGGAGGGACAGCTCCGGGAGGAAGTCTGTGGGGGAGTCCGGAGGAAGGGTCAATGATAGGGTTTGGGAATCCTGATCGGAGTGGATCAGAGATCATCCCTCCTCTTCGGCCCCTGAAGAAGAGAGAGAAGAGACAAGGGAAAGGATCTTGGGGTCGCAGTGGAGAGCACAGTGAAAATGTCAACTCAGTATGCTGCTGTCATGACCCCAGCAGGCTGCCACCTTCTGCTGCCACCACCCTGGACTTAGGTATCTTCCCAAGCCCCTTCACATTGTCCCTTTTGTAGCCGAGAAAAGTAAGCATGATGACCAGGCAGAGAAACAGTGAAACAAAAAGGGTTTATTATTACAGTCCTGGGCAGGGGGAAGACAAGACAAGACAAGGGGCTTTAAAATACATAACAGTGTTGAAAGGCCAAAAGGAACACAAAGCTAACGCAGCTACCAATTACTCCTTAACTGTTACTACTCAAGCCCTAAAGGTAAAGGTAAAGGTTCCCTTGCTCGAAAGCCAGTCGAATCCGACTCTAGGGTTGCGGTGCTCATCTCCGTTTCCAAGCCGAAGAGCCAGCGCTGTCCGAAGACGTTTCCGTGGTCATGTGGCCGGCATGACTAAACACCAAGGCGCACGGAACGCTACCTTCCCACCGAAGTGGTACCTATTCATCTACTTGCAGTGTCTTGCTTTCGAACTGCTAGGTTGGCAGGAGCTGGAACTAGAGACGGTAGCTCGCTCCGTCATGCGGCACACTCGGGTCTCGAACTGCTGAACTACTGACCTTCCACAGCCTGCAGTTCAGCGTCTTAATCGGCTGGAGATTAGGAAACACTTTTTCACGGTCAGAATGGTTCAAAGGTGGAATCAGCTGCCTGGGGAGGTGGTTCACTCCCCTTCACTGTCAGCTTCCAAGAAGAGGCTGGACGGATATTTGTCACAGATGCTCTAGGCTGGTCCTGCATTGGGCAGGGGGCTGGACTAGATGGCCTCTATGGCCCCTTCCCACTCTGTGGTTCTAGGATTCCATAGATCGACTTACCCAAAGGGGTCCAGATCTTCCCCACCGACCGCAAAAGGCCCCAGGGGGTCTTGCCTGAAAGGAAAGGGGATCAGTTCAGTGCCAGGAACATGTGACCCTTGGCAGGGCTCTTTCTGTAGAAAAAGCCCAGCAGGAACTCATTAGCATAATAGGCCACACCCAAGAGCAGACACTCATCAGCATATTAGGCCACACCCTTGACAGCACAGCATATTAGCATATTAGGCCACACCCCCACATTACCAGAAGTGTGGTCATCCAGCCACACCCACCCTTTGCTTCTTATTCTGTTTACCTTGTTTGTGGTCAAAACCCAGGGCTTTTTTGTAGCAGGAACTCCTTTGCATGTTAGGCCACACACCCCTAATGTAGCCAATCCTAATGAGTTTCTGCTGTTGGGTGTGGCCTGTTATGCTAATGAGTTCCTGCTGGGTGTGGCCAACTCAGGAGCCAGCCGGAACTCCGTTCCTGTGCGTTCCTGCCCAAAAATAGCCCTGACTTGGCATCCGCCCACCCCCTGCGGGCCCACGAGGCCCGGGAGCACGGCCCAGGCCAAGCTCTCCTTTTGCCGCCTTGGGAAAAAACAGAGACTCACCAGCGGGGTTGCCGGCTGCCGTGCGGCTGCCGAGGCGGGATCCACAGTGGGTCGTGGTCCGGGGGGTTGGGCGGGGAGGGGTTCCTCTCACGTCTCGGGGCGTCCTTGGGGCTGGCCCGCTCTTTGGTTGTGTCGAATGGGGAGATGATGTGATGAACGACCTGCGACTGCAGCTCTTCTGTGTTCTTGTACACTCTGGGGAGGGACAGGAAGGGAGAGGTCTACCAAAACGCTTGGGAGGAGCTATAATAATAATAATAATAATAATAATAATAATAATAATAATAATAATAATAATAATCCTTTCCATTTATTAATCGCTTTCCCCAGTGGGCTCAAAGCGATGTACAGTTACTCAAATATAGACAAGGGACTAACAATGTTTGTAGGGGATAGGGA